CCATTTCAGGGTAAATTGGATCCTGTTGTTGGGAGGCAGACACAAATAGAACGTGTTACCCAAATTTTAGGCAGGCGGACTAAAAACAATCCATGTCTTATTGGAGAACCTGGTGTAGGAAAAACGGCAATTGCTGAAGGTCTTGCACAACGTATTGCTAGTGGTGATGTTCCTGAAACAATTGAGGGGAAGAAGGTGGGCATTGTTCATCAAGCTATTTGACGCTTAAATCTTATGCATACGGATTGTGAGATTGGTGGTGGAATTTATTTTCCTTGTAAAGTTTGGCTTTTGGTTTTAGATTCAAGTTGAAATTCACATATTAAAAAAATTACTAGAAGAAGAATGTGATTAATTTCTGCTGTTTGCTTTGGTCAAACTAATGCTTGACATGGTGGTAAATAAGTCTACATGTAGATTGCTATAGCATTTTATTGCTTTTGTGGAATTGAGGACATGCGAGTGTGATTTTTGTAATTGTCAACAGCTAAATCTTCTTCTTTGTTCCTATAATGCTTCTAGCAATTTCTCTGCCTCTTATCAGCTTTCCCCTCTATAACAAAATTTTTGAAAAGAGAGCAATATGATAATTGTATGGTTATTTTTCTTTGTAGGTTATAACTCTGGATATGGGTCTTCTGGTTGCTGGAACAAAATACCGAGGAGAATTTGAGGAAAGATTGAAGAAGTTGATGGAGGAGATCAAACAAAGTGATGAAATAATTTTGTTTATTGATGAGGTGCACACTTTAATTGGTGCAGGTGCTGCAGAAGGAGCGATTGATGCTGCTAATATCTTGAAGCCAGCCCTTGCAAGAGGTGAATTGCAGGTACTTTTTTCCCTAACATGTTGTAATAGTATATGTCACACTGTATTTACATAGCTAAGAAGTAAAATGGAACTTTCATTCTTAATTTCTAAGTCTAGGTTTGCTATGGCTGCATGTTTGAAATAGAATCATGCAACTTATTCTTTATCTCTAAGTTGATCAAATAGGGTATATCTGCTTGAGGTTTTTAATTCCAACTCCTGCAGTGTATTGGAGCTACAACACTGGATGAGTACAGAAAGCACATCGAGAAAGACCCAGCTTTGGAAAGACGTTTCCAGCCAGTCAGAGTGCCTGAACCATCTGTTGAAGAAGCTATACAAATTTTGAGAGGTTTAAGGGAGCGTTATGAAATTCACCACAAGCTACGTTATACAGATGAAGCTCTAGAAGCAGCCGCAAAGCTTTCATACCAGTACATCAGGTATCAAATAACTAAATTTCTAACCTTGGTGTGTCTTTTTTCTTTCCAATAAATGTGTGTGATGTTACTCAGTTACTGGACAAGCGCTATAAGCTTTTCAGGGTGCAAAAAGCTCATTTGTGATTATATTCTTTGGTTTTATGTGCTTGCATTTTTAAACTGTAAATTAGTTATGCTAGTAGAAATGATAAGACTCTCTGGCCAAAAAAAAAAAAGAAGACTTGCCTGAAGAGCACCAGATAGCTCCTGGAACTTGAAAGAAAATTAGAAGCAATATCAAAAATGACATTTTAGTGCTAATTATCTGTAGATTTAATTGTGGCATTGATGCCTTTAGGAAATTAGAAAATGATTAATTCTTCTATCTAGCAACTAGTCAGTATCAGGATGATTAATTATAGCCATTACTGTTATGTAACAATTTTGTTATATATTTATGAAATGCTATATTTCTTCTTGTTTGTTTTGATTAATCTTTTATCATGCCTTAGTGACCGTTTTCTTCCCGACAAGGCAATTGACTTGATTGATGAAGCTGGTTCTCGTGTTCGGCTTCGTCATGCTCAGGTATGAGATTGCATGCTTGATTACTGCACGCCTGATTACTTGTGCAGTTGTAATGCTTCCTTCTCCTCTATGTTAATATTAATGACTTTTATTGCAGCCCCCTAAGAATTTTTAATGATTTCCATTGCAGCTCCCTGAGGAAGCTAGAGAGCTTGAAAAAGAGCTCAGGCAGATCACCAAGTCAAAGAATGAAGCCGTTCGTAGCCAGGACTTCGAGAAGGTAAGGTCTATATTAGGGTCAGAGTTTTATAAGATGACTCTAGGTTATCATATTAATATCATGATCATTTTCAAGGCCCTACATTATTGTGTTTTGTGAATACGAAAACTATTTTGATAGCCAAAAAGGTCCTTTTTTCTTTTCCTGTAAGTCTTTTAAGTAGTAACTGCATCATTCTTGTAAATTTGGTGACCTTTTTATTTAGATTTCTCACTCAAATAACAAATATGATTTTGAACAGGCCGGTGAATTGCGTGATCGAGAACTTGAGCTCAGGACTCAGATTGATGCCATCCAAATGAAAAACAAGGA